AGCAGTTCAGTCAGACACAACCCATTAGACAAATGCTCTGTGCTCAGCACCACTGGACTAGAAAGGGCTGTGCTGAATCTCTGGGCACATGGGGACAAAAACAGGTCTGTGTGAGGACAAACTGGGGCTGCCCGACAGTGGACTGAGCCAGTTCCATGGCAGCGCCATGCCCAGCCCCAGAGGAGCCCTGCAGGCACTACGCAGTGCTGCAGCACGAACAGCTTAAGGGTCTCAAAATCACAGTGGGCTTTGCTCATCACTGGGTGAGAATGGCCCTTTGGGATGTCACCTGGTGATGGATGTCAGTGATGATGGATCCACCTAGCAATGGATTATGATGTCAGCGAGAGGCTGGTGTCGCTCCCTGCACCTCACCCAGTCAGCGCCACACTCCACCTGAACAAGTTCGCGTGTAGACGCGCAGGAGGCTACCTCCCAGCCAGGCCAGCGCTGCGCTTCTCCACTGCTGCTGGCCTGGCAAACAATCATTGCCTGAGGGCACAGCAGGGAGCTCTTGCTGCATCTTTGCTTTTAACTTACTGTTTCCCCTCTATTCTGCCTTCTCCTCCATCTGCTACTTCTTATTGATCTTCACTTTCCTTCACTTTCTCTCGTGATGCCAGTTTGCTTTCTTCCTGCTCTGGGCTACAGGAAAGCTCTGTACCAGTGCTGTGTCAGAGAAGCCCTTTGGTAGCTCTCCTGTTTTTCCTGTAGTTTCTCTGGCCACCAGCATGGAGGGACCCTCGGTAGGCACCTGGAAACCTCATCCCCGACGGGGCCCAATACTTGCAGAATTCAGCACCCCAGGTCCCAAGTACTGGCTTCCTGGGACAACAGGTAAACCAACTATCACGGGGAGGTAGTGGCAGCAGGAGGCACAGCACAGTGTTTGCTTCCACTTAGAAACTTCCTTTCACTAGACAGTTGCAGGCACAGGTCCTTTCACAGGCTTTTCTTCCCAGGTCATATGGCTCATGATCCCACCAGATGCAGAGCCCCTGCATACTCATTTCGAGGGACCAAAGCTCCCTCCACAGACAACTGCTCACCAGGTCCTCGATACTTCATCCATCCATCCATTACCAAGACTGGGAAGTATGTCTCACCATCAGCACATATCATGGGACGTGGCAAGAGCAAGACTGAAGTCACCCCTGGACCCAGTGAGTAGCATTTCAGCAGCCCTTCTTCCAGGCCAGACAAGCATGCCTTACTGTTGCCCTGTGCCACTGGGGCACAAAGCCCTCTGCTCATGCCCTGAATGGGCTTCAGAGAGCTCCAGACAGAAAACAAGCAAGACTCAGTACCACCTCCACCTCCTCCTGACTTCTCCTCTTTGGCTTGCAGTTAGGCTCCCAGCTTCACTTCTTTTCTTGTCTTCTTCTCTGTCCCAGGTGACTACACCACAGATCCTGCCAACAAACACATCTACTATAAGGCACCGGCAAGTTTCATGATGTTCCGGCCCAAGGACCTAAAAGGCTTCCGAACACCAGGTATGGAACCTGAGGAAACAGACAGCCTGTGTGTCCTCCAGGGAGCATCTGCAGCTTCTTCAGCAGGCCTAGCAAAAAGCCTAGGCAGCAAGACACAGTGTGTGCTCAACAAGCTTTTTGCTGTTCCACAGCACCAACTTCTCCCATCCCACAGAAGAACTGGCAGCTCTCAAACAGCCAAGGCACACGCCATGCAACAAAAGCCAGAGGCATTGGGATGAGGGGCAGGACACCCTTCTTGCTCCTCACAACCAGCTTGGCAGGCTGACTCTCTTCCACGCAGGCATTGCACCCTATCCCACAGGACTGACCTATGCCATCTTCCTATTCCATTTCCAGGTCCTGGCACCTACACCCTGCCCAGGGTTCTGGGACCACACACAGTGTATACTCATGCCGAACCGTGCTGCATCATGATGGGGAAGAGTAAATACCAGAGCTGTTTTCAAGATGCGGCAAAGGTGAGCTGTGCTTCTCTGTTATCTCACAGCAGCAGCAGAAGCCCAGCTGCTCTGCTCAGGGCAGAAGCCCAAGAAGCCACAGGGCCTCTGGCGCTACTATTACCAGCAACACTGACACCTGCAGCCCCTCATTTTTCCACACCAGCAGCTTTGGCATGGTACAGCTCACTGGCACTAATGGCAATGATCTCCCTCGTCCTCTGAGAAATCTACCTCTCTTCCTAAGGAGCCCTCATTCCCAAGGCTCCAGACCTCCCACACTGTTTCTCTGGCCAGGCACCGGAAGCAGCACAGTACTCATGGACACCCAGCAAGAATACACACTGCTTCTTGCACCCATCAACCTCACTGCTTCTCTTGCAGACGCCAGGTCCTGCGGCATTTGCCAAGGTGGATCTGGACGTCTACAAAACCAGGGCTCCCAAGTTCTCAATGGGACTAAAAACCAAACTTGCTGGGAAGGAACGGTTTCCAGGTCCAGCGGACTACAACACAGGAAAGGTAAGGCAGCCTGTCTACCATTATATTGTGCTGCACAACCTTCACTTGAGGACAGCTCTGGAGTACAAGGCACCATCTTCACTTCTTTTCTTCCTCTTCCAGGTGTCACTGATCAAGGCCCGGGATCCTGCTTACACTTTTGGACTCCGACATTCTCTCTACAAATCTGCCTTAATACCTGCAACACATCTTGATTAAAGACAGATACCTGAAGAGATCTTTTTCTGTTCTTCCTTTGCAGCTGGGTGTGTGGGTGTGGACCATTGGCTTCACTGTCTCATGTCAATGCCTCAGTCAAAACATGGCAGGATGAGGGTGAGGGGAGAAACAGCATGAGCCAGGCTGACATCTCCAACAGCACCATTTCACCTAACCAGAGCAAAACACTGTGAAAGCTTTCTAGCCCTGCCTTGCACACTCTCACCCCACGGCCCATGCTGGCCTCACGGACAAAGCCCATCTCAGTGTCCCCCTTTTCAGTGCACATAGGTAGCATCTGCCCAAGCTGTGCCCAGAAACACATCTGCCCTGCATCCTCTCTTGCCACAGGAAGGGGCTCATTTCCACAGGCTCAAGTCCCCAGACCATTGAGTGCTGAGGAGAAAGAACCATTATTCCCAGTCTGAAAATGGAATCATCATAGGATCCTACAACAGCCCAGGTGGGAAGGGACCTTGGAAGGTGACCTCATCCAGCCCTCGTGTGGGAGAGGCAGCCTGGAAGAAACTAGCCAGCACCTAGCCAACTGCAAACTTGATTGTGGCCAGTGATGGGGCTCTACTGTGCTCCTGGGGAGGCTGTTTCTCCTCTCTGGCTAAGTGGTGATGCCAAACCCTGATTGCTAGGGAACAGGGTGGGAATTGGAGCGGGCAACTCTCACAGGCACTCCAAGGCAGAAGCCTCTCCCAGCTCTGCAGCCAGCACTTCAGTCTACTCAGCCTCTTACAAATACACTGATAAAATAATTTATTTAATAAAAAAAAAAAAAGACAAAAGTGTTAGTTATGATTGCAAGTAGAAAACCATGAAGCATGTGATATAGCAATGTTAGGAGTGTGGTTTTTAAAGTATTCAGCCAGAGAAACTTTTACCAAGAAGATCCCAGAATCCCTATGCCTTGTTCAAGAAGCTATAGAAATTGTCATGAAGACCAGTTAGTGTGGTTGGAAACCCTCTACACTTTCCAGCCTAATTTGAATATCAAGAATTCCAATCAGTAGATCTCAGTAGATATGACTAATGATAGTCTTAGGGTAAGAATATTACTGTAGTTATATAACTAGTGAAACCAATCATTGTAAAGGTTAAACTTAAGAATGGGCATATGATGCACAATATGTAAAAGAACTTATGTAAAAACGACATGGCACAAAAAGCATATAAAAGGTATGCAGTTTGTTTGCTAATCAGAAGAAATTTGGAGGCGTAATCCCCCTTGTCCCTGCCACTGAAATACAGAAGTGTCTCCTTATTCACAACAAATTGGTTTTGGATAAGTTTATTTCACTCTGGTGAAAAAAGTCCTGTGCTCAGGCACCATTGGACTAGAAAGGGCTGTGCAGGGTCTCTGGGCACATGGGAACAAAAACAGGTCTGTGTGAGGACAAAATGGCCCACACCGGACTGAGCCAGTTCCATGGCAGCGCCATGCCCAGCCCCAGAGGAGCCCTGCAGACAATATGGCAGTGCTGCAGCACATACAACTTAAGGATCTCAAAATCATAGTGGGCTTTGCTCATCACTGGGTGAGAATGGCCCTTTGGGATGTCACCTGGTGATGGATGTCAGTGATGATGGATCCACCTAGCAATGGATTATGATGTCAGCGAGAGGCTGGTGTCGCTCCCTGCACCTCACCCAGTCAGCGCCACACTCCAGCTGAGTAAATTCATGTGTAGATGCGCAGGAGGCTACCTCGCAGTCAGGCCAGTGCTGCGCTTCTACGCCAACAATTACTGCCTGAGGGCACACCAGGAGTTTCAGTTCCATGGCAGCCCCATGCCCAGCCCCAGAGGAGCCCTGCAGACAATATGGCAGTGCTGCAGCACATACAACTTAAGGATCTCAAAATCATAGTGGGCTTTGCTCATCACTGGGTGAGAATGGCCCTTTGGGATGTCACCTGGTGATGGATGTCAGTGATGATGGATCCACCTAGCAATGGATTATGATGTCAGCGAGAGGCTGGTGTCGCTCCCTGCACCTCACCCAGTCAGCGCCACACTCCAGCTGAGTAAATTCATGTGTAGATGCGCAGGAGGCTACCTCGCAGTCAGGCCAGTGCTGCGCTTCTACGCCAACAATTACTGCCTGAGGGCACACCAGGAGTTTTTGCTGCATCTTTGCTTTTAACTTGCTGTTTCCCCTCTATTCTGCCTTCTCCTCCATCTGCTACTTCTTATTGATCTTCACTTTCCTTCACTTTCTCTCGTGATGCCAGTTTGCTTTCTTCCTGCTCTGGGCTACAGGAAAGCTCTGTACCAGTGCTGTGTCAGAGAAGCCCTTTGGTAGCCCTCCTATTTTTCCTGTAGTTTCTTTGGCCACCAGCATGGAGGGACCCTGGGTAGGCACCTGGAGACCTCATCCCCGACGGGGCCCAATACTTGCAGAATTCAGCACCCCAGGTCCCAAGTACTGGCTTCCTGGGACAACAGGTAAACCAACTATCACGGGGAGGTAGTGGCAGCAGGAGGCACAGCACAGTGTTTGCTTCCACTTAGAAACTTCCTTTCACTAGACAGTTGCAGGCACAGGTCCTTTCACAGGCTTTTCTTCCCAGGTTATGTAGCCCATGATCCCACCAAAGACAGAGCCCCTGCATACTCATTTCGAGGGACCAAAGCTCCCTCCGAAGCAACCTGCTCACCAGGTCCTCGATACTTCATCGAATCATCCATTACCAAGACTGGGAAGCAGGTGGCTCCATCAGCACTTGTGACAGCACGTCCCAAGACCAAGATTTTGGTCACCCCTGGACCCAGTGAGTAGCATTTCAGCAGCCCTTCTTCCAGGCCAGACAAGCATGCCTTACTGTTGCCCTGTGCCACTGGGGCACAAAGCCCTCTGCTCATGCCCTGAATGGGCTTCAGAGAGCTCCAGACAGAAAACAAGCAAGACTCAGTACCACCTCCACCTCCTCCTGACTTCTCCTCTTTGGCTTGCAGTTAGGCTCCCAGCTTCACTTCTTTTCTTGTCTTCTTCTCTGTCCCAGGTGACTACACCACAGATCCTGCCAACAAACACATCTACTATAAGGCACCAGCGAATAGCCTGGCATCTCGGCCCAAGGACCTAAAAGGCTTCCGAACACCAGGTATGGAACCTGAGGAAACAGACAGCCTGTGTGTCCTCCAGGGAGCATCTGCAGCTTCTTCAACAGGCCTAGCAAAAAGCCTAGGCAGCAAGACACAGTGTGTGCTCAACAAGCTTTTTGCTGTTCCACAGCACCAACTTCTCCCATCCCATAGAAGAACTGGCAGCTCTCAAACAGCCAAGGCACACCCCATGCAACAAAAGCCAGCGGCATTGGGATGAGGGGCAGGACACCCTTCTTGCTCCTCACAACCAGCTTGGCAGGCTGACTCTCTTCCACGCAGGCATTGCACCCTATCCCACAGGACTGACCTACGCTGTCTTCCATTTCCAGGTCCTGGCACCTACACCCTGCCCAGGATTCTGGGACCACACACAGCATACACTCATGCCGAACCATGCTACTCCATGAAAGGGAAGAGTAACTACCAGAGCTGTTTTCAAGATGCGGCAAAGGTGAGCTGTGCTTCTCTGTTATCTCACAGCAGCAGCAGAAGCCCAGCTGCTCTGCTCAGGGTAGAAGGGCGCCAATGCCTGCTGTATTCCCACATAACACACATTACCCCACACCTGCAGCAAAGCACAAGAAGCCACAGGGCCTCTGGCGCTACTATTACCAGCAACACTGACACCTGCAGCCCCTCATTTTTCCACACCAGCAGCTTTGGCATGGTACAGCTCACTGGCACTAATGGCAATGATCTCCCTCGTCCTCTGAGAAATCTACCTCTCTTCCTAAGGAGCCCTCATTCCCAAGGCTCCAGACCTCCCACACTGCTCCTCTGGCCAGCCCCCGGAAGCAGCACAGTACTCATGGACACCCAGCAAGAATACACACTGCTTCTTGCACCCATCAACCTCACTGCTTCTCTTGCAGACGCCAGGTCCTGCAGCATTTGACAAGGTGGATCTGGACGTCTACAAAACCAGGGCTCCCAAGTTCTCAATGGGACTAAAAACCAAACTTGCTGGGAAGGGAATAGGTCCAGGTCCAGCAGAATACAGCCTGGGAAAGGTAAGTCAGTCAGTCCACTAAAGTGTTATGCTGTAAAGCCTTCACTTGAGGACAACTCTGGAGTACAAGGCACCGTCTTCACTTCTTTTCATTCCAATTTCGCCTTCCAGTTGTCAGTGACCAAGGCCCGGGATCCTGCCTTCAGTTTTGGAGTCCGACATTCTCTCTACAAAGCTTCTTTAATACCTGAAACACATCTTGATTAAAGACAGATACCTGAAGAGATCTTTTTCTGTTCTTCCTTTGCAGCTGGGTGTGTGGGTGTGGACCATTGGCTTCACTGTCTCATGTCAATGCCTCAGTCAAAACATGGCAGGATGAGGGTGAGGGGAGAAACAGCATGAGCCAGGCTGACATCTCCAACAGCACCATTTCACCTAACCAGAGCAAAACACTGTGAAAGCTTTCTAGCCCTGCCTTGCACACTCTCACCCCACGGCCCATGCTGGCCTCACGGACAAAGCCCATCTCAGTGTCCCCCTTTTCAGTGCACATAGGTAGCATCTGCCCAAGCTGTGCCCAGAAACACATCTGCCCTGCATCCTCTCTTGCCACAGGAAGGGGCTCATTTCCACAGGCTCAAGTCCCCAGACCATTGAGTGCTGAGGAGAAAGAACCATTATTCCCAGTCTGAAAATGGAATCATCATAGGATCCTACAACAGCCCAGGTGGGAAGGGACCTTGGAAGGTGACCTCATCCAGCCCTCGTGTGGGAGAGGCAGCCTGGAAGAAACTAGCCAGCACCTAGCCAACTGCAAACTTGATTGTGGCCAGTGATGGGGCTCTACTGTGCTCCTGGGGAGGCTGTTTCTCCTCTCTGGCTAAGTGGTGATGCCAAACCCTGATTGCTAGGGAACAGGGTGGGAATTGGAGCGGGCAACTCTCACAGGCACTCCAAGGCAGGAGCCTTTCCCAGCTCTGTGGCCAGCACTTCAGTCAGACTCAGCCCATTAGACAAAAGCCCTGTGCTCAGGCACCATTTGACCACTGGACTGGAAAGGGCTGTGGTGTGTGTCTGTGCACGGGGAAGAAGTAGGTCTTTGTGAGGACAAACTGGGGCTGCCCCACTGGGGCGGACTGAGCCCGTTCTGTGGCAGCCCCATGCCCAGCCCCAGCGGAGCCCTGCGGGGAACACGGCAGCGCTGCAGCACGGACCGACCGGCAGCTGGCCCCAACCTCCCGCCGGCAGCGTCCGTTTGCTGGTTAACCCGAGGGAAAGGCTGCGTGTGCCAGACTTCGGGGGGTGGAAGGCAAATTCCCGCGACCGCGACACACAGTACCGCCGCGTCCTCTGCGGATAGGCGTGCCCCGGTAGGCCTTGTGCGGCGGTGCCGAGCTGGAACACGGTGTGTCGAGGAGCTGCAGCGTCGGGAGCTTGGCCAGAGCGGGCCCAGGCTAGAAAACGGTGTGTCGAGGAGTTGCAGCGTCGGGAATTTGGGTAGAGCGGGCCCCGGCGCTCTTGAGCGCGGCTTCGGGCTAGAGCCGGCAGCCGTGGGAGGCAGCTCCGGCTGCGAAGGGGTGGGTGGGTGGTAGTGGGGCTTAATTTTCTCACTATCTGAATAAATAGCAGTAAATTACACTAATTTCCTTCAGCCGAATCAGTTTCACGCGTCGTTATCTCAATTCGCGAGGTTTTACACCTTGTTTTCCGTTTCAGTTTTCCTGCTGAGGAGGGGCCGCGGGGACCTTGATTGCCTGAGGCTCCTCTGAGTCGAACCCCGAGCAGGCATCTTCCTTGACAGGGCTTCAGGTGCTCTTCTCTTCATTTTGAAATGCCTGTCGCTAATGGGAAGTATTTTAACTAAACTTACATGTATATCGAAGTGAGTTAGAAAGATTACAGGAGAACACAAAGCTAGAATAGGAAAAGATTTGTTAAAAGTTGCTGTTGCAGGGGAGGGACAAAGGCAAATGAACCTTTGGTTAATAGACTGGCTGTTCAGTCCTTTGTGGTGCAAGAAAATTTTATTACTTGGTTTTTTAATCTACAAAAGAAATTTCGTCCTACCTGTATTCACAGATGAGGTCAGTGATGCTGTGCTCCATGGGAACAGTGCTGAGGCAGCAGTGAACAGATTTTGTTCTGGACAGGTTTTGTTTTGTGCCCCCATGAGTAAGGTGTGCTTGTCTCGCCTGGAAGAAAGGCTGGAGAAATGGTACTCAGGGTGACCTCGGCCTTCATACGGGGACATCCACAGATGTGCAGTGTTGGAGCTGAGTCCTTCCCATTCACGGTGATACAGGGGTGAATGTAGTGCTGAGTACCTGCAGAGCAGCTGTCTATGATGGAATGTTTGGCTCCTTGCAACGTGTTAAAACTTACAGTTTGTTAAGTGGAAGCAGCAGATGTGCTCTGATCCCCCAGCTGTTTGCTTGCCCTTCTACTTCTGCCCCATCCTTCATGATTCCTGGTTTACCTGTCATCTCAGGGATTGTGTACGTGAATCCCAGGGTGCTGAACTCTGCCATGATGTGGCCACGTGTGATGAAACCTCCAGGCACCCACCCAAGCTCCATCCATGTTGGTGACTACAAAGCCTCTGTCAAGAATAGGAGCCTGGGACCACAGCGCTGCCAGGCCCAGTGCCACACGAAAGCTTGCTCTGACAGGTCTTCCCCTATTTTCTCTTATTGCCAGAAGGTTCAAGGGTGATCCCCTTTGCTCTGCACTCGTCAGACCTCATTCAGGCATTCTGTCCTCTCTGGGTTCTTGGAGACAGGCTGGCAAACTTAAAAGGCTCAGGGTTAGGCTGGGAAAGTCTGTGTGGATGGGACTGGTTCAGAATGGAGTAGAGAAGGCCTTGGTGTGCCTCACAACCCGCTGCCTATGGGTAAGGCACCTAATATATCTTCCTCTTGAAAACACAGCAAGCAGACCTTGATGATGTCTGCAAGGCAGAAACATGCACTGAGAGAAAAAACAATGCAATTTTTTTGTTTATTTAAAAGCTGTATGTTCTTGTAGTTTTGGGTCACATAATATGAAAGCATGTTTGAACACCTCAGACTTCTGTTTCATGTCTTATTATTCAGTGGTCCCTTAATTTAAGTTGGTTTTTTTTTTTTTTTTTTTTTTTTTTTTTCTGGAGAGGGTGATTTAGGCCTGGTGTTTGTAAGCAGAATTTTCTGCTGAAGATAATGTTTAGGAAGAACACTTCTATGCTGCCAGTTTTGGGAGTCTTGCAGCCTGAGTGTGCAAATGAAGGCAATAGGGGCCTTTCTCCGGAGTGCAGAAGAAATGGAGCAGACTCCTGTGTGCATGGTCAGGTCATGCAAAAAAAGCTAGATTCTGGCCACAGATGCAGAGTGTTTTCAGACCTTTCTCCAGTAAGTAAATATAGATAAATTCTCCATATATTGGAACTGTCAGCATGCTTAGCAATTATCGAAATACTAGTGGGTCTAATGAGTTCTTTTCATGTTTAAGTTTGCATCTTTGTTTTAGGGAACAGTTATTGATGGGGAATTTGTCAAAAACATTAGTGGCAATGTTATTAGCTCACAGTCTTAATGATGGAAAAGAAACAGCATGTGCACTCTAAGACACTGAATCTCAACCACCCAAAAGGCAAGGCTCAAGACAACTAACTCTCTTCCTGAGACTGTGACTTTTGACTGATCTGGGTTGCTGAGTTTTCTGAGCATTAACCTGAATAATTAAAATATTTCCAGATTGAAAAGCTTTTTATAGTCAGAAAATCTGAAGTGGCTGCCAGCCCTCTTTAAGAGAAGCCTGTATAGTTCGCTTGTTTTGGATTTGCTTGTTCTGTAAAAGTTTACAGAGAAGACTCTTTATCACAGCTCTGTTTTGTTTCCTATAGTTGTTTTTGGACATGCATGACCAGAGGGAATTGCTCTCTGTCTGGGCAAAATTCTTTTGTAGACTAAAATGTGATGAGGTGGTGTATCCACTTTAATATGTTCCTACATTTGAGAATAAAGGATAAGCTGTGTTATACACCAGGAAAAAACCCAAACAAAACCAAACATCCTTATTCCATCTTCATTTTTTCTCTGGAAGGGATTTAAGGACTCTGGCCATCTGGATGTCTGGCAACTCAGTCAGAGCTGTGGCTACTGTGTGTGTGCAGATTAACTGTGTAGCACATGCACAGTAAGTCCAATGTGTCCAGTACACATCAGACCTGCTGCACATGTGCTGCACAGATGGTCCGTGCATACACAGTAAATCAGCTATGTTAAGCCTACTGCGCATATGCAAACCATCTGTGCATTGCACATATGTATATTTTTGCATGGGAAATCCCTAGTCAGAGCGGGAAAGGTTGTGGCAGAGAGGAACTCCAGTGGTAGAGAGACCGTGAGAGTCTGACAGTGGCATAAATTAAAGCAGCTCCTTGCCTGTTTTTGCTCATGTCTGGGCCAAAGCTGCAAATAAGTTCCTCAGAATCAGAAAATGTGACTAGCTGCTTAACAGTTTCAATCTCTGTAACAATTGGCTGCAGGAGAGAATCTGTATCAAAACCATTAGTTTTAAAGGCAGTGATTATCAGCTAGAACTGCAGCTAGTTTGTCAGGTAACTCAAAATGAACAAGGTCTGGTATTTTACTTATCCAATAAAATAGTGATGCTTATGATGCAGGCCTCAGGGGTATGATTAGCCAATTATCTTTCTTTTATTTCCCAGTAATCCTTTTACTTCTCATCTAATAGTCAGCATTTTTACATAGGCTGTTTGAGCCTGGCAAGGATGCTTACTGGTTAGTACATAGGCACGGTTTACATATGTATAGAAAAATGTTATCTTTTCAGTCTATATGCAAGTTATTGCTTATTATGTTTATGGTACATCTTTAAATCCCAGTTCTGACAATGGCAAGTAGATTCTTTAAGTCTGTTTTAAGTCTATTTCTAATGAGTTCTAATGGTCTGAAGTTGAAGAACCCCTTTTTTATCTCACAAGGCATCACTGCTGATCTAACTGACACACACTTGAGGGAAGAGATGCCTTCACAGGCTTGAGAAGTGAGCCAGTATGAACCTCCTGAAGTTCAGCAAGGCCACGTGAAAGGTCACGCACCTGGATTGTAGCAGTCATCATTTTCAATGTAGGCTTGGTGGTGAATGGATTGAGAGCAGCCCTGCAGAGAAGGACCTAGGTATACCGCTGGATCAGAAATTAGATATGAGCCAGTGATGCGTGTATGCAGCCTAGAAAGCAAATTTTACCCTAAGCTTCATAA